AAATGCCAGGCACAAACTCAATGCCCTGTTTCCCTGACCTAGATACTAACATTTCCCCCTTCTCATTTCCCCTCTTGGAGTTCTGCCCCTGAGCTCTGAGGATTGTCCCTAGTGACAGAGAAGGCACTGATACTCTCCCCACCCCCACCATATGTCCAATCCATTCCAGTGTTTGTTCCTGACCCAGATGTTTGCCTAGGACCTGAGTCCTTAAATCTTAACTCCTGCTGCTGCTGAGATAAACCCTGTGACCTTCATAATGGATCCTGATCAGCTCTGAGATGCTCCTGCTGAGTATACCAGAAAAGAAGCTGAGTAAACCAGGTTGCCAGTCCATTACTGAGGAGGAGCTACTTTTAATTCCCCAAAGTCTTAAAGGCTGGAGGGGTTTATGCCAAAGGTTCCCTGTTCTCTATCTCCTAGCATAAGCAGTAATGAGGGCAGGAGGGGAGAGGATTCTTAAATTCCATGCTAGCCTGGAGGTAGGTGCTCAAGAAATACTCAGTTGGCTGATTGATTTGTCAGTGGTATCCGCCCAAAGATCTCCAGCCATTTCCCAGATGCCATAATTCATCTTAGTTGGATTTTTAAAGAACTAATAGAGCTCATTGACAGATAGGGAGGAACTGGATTTAGTTTAGATTTGTACCACACCTCTTTCTGGAATGGTTTGAGGCAGATTACAGATTAAAACATAGTGTTTTAAAGTAAGACTTTAAGGATGAAACACAACTTGGCGATCAGAAAGATGAAACAGTAACAGTTACTTCCAAACATCAGCATGCTCAACACTTATCCTGTAAATTTGGCTGAAAGATTCCTGGCAGAAAGGCCAAAAGGGAAAACCATTAGTTTACCCAATGTACATTTTCTGATACCAGAGAGCATACAGAATCTCCAACAGGGAAAACATATCTCAAGCTAAAGCCAAATCAAAAGTGATTGTGTTGGTCCTTACCTGAAGAATTTTGAGTGATAGGGTGAAGAGTATGTAGTTCAGTTCAGCTGTAGTTGCTCACCATCCATTAGGTACCAGACCCCATGCAATGCTCCTAGTCTTGTGTGAAAGATGGTCTTGTCCCTAAGTCATTCTAATAGAAAGTAGACTTGATAGTAGAATGTGATACCCTCTATAGGACTCACAAGGACTACATCTTGGTTCAGGGGAGAATGTGGGAGGCCTTAAAGGATCCCTACATTTCCAAAGGCAGAAAAGAAGTCAAAGACCATGGTTTCCACCTTAATTTTTCAAAAGATAACAAACACCATCCAAAGGGATAGCAAACACTTTTTGAGTGATTACTATGTGTCAGGCTCATTTGTTCATTTAATCTTTAGAACAACCCTATGGAGGAGAAATTATTATTTACATTTTACAAATGAGGAAACTGAAGCTCAGTTTGTCCAAGGTCACATAGTAGTAAGTGATGTGTCAGGATTCAGTATCAGGACTATGTGTCTTTCCCACTATACCACCTTGTTTATTCAACCTGACAGTTCTTTTTTTTTTTAATTTCATTGTATTTTTGGTGAAGGTTTACACTGCAGTTTAGGTTCCCATTCAACAATTTCTACACAAGTTGTTCAGTGACATTACTTACATTCTTCACAATGCACATTCTCATTATTTCCGTTCTGGTTGTTCCATTTTCATTAATCTGATTTCCCTGCCCCGTTACATTCTCATCTTTGTTTTAAAGTAATTGTTGACCATTTGGTCTCATATAGGTCATTTTTTAAAGGAGTACAGTACTTACAGGCGATATTATTTTGTTTTAACCGATTTGTTATTTAGCTACAAGGTGACCTCAGGGGTTAGTTTCGGTTCAAGATTTGAAGAGTATCTCAGGGCAATAGTCTCAAGGAGTCCTCTAGTCTCAATCAGACCAGTAGGTCTCAACCAGACAGCTCTTCGTTGGAGTTTCCATAAAGAAAGAGAACATAAAGTGACATTCTGGCTGTAAGGGGCTGAAAGAATGTGGTCCATTGATGCTTTGTTGACATAACTTAACCTGGGAATAGAAAATGAATAGATGGACATTGCTATCAATTACTCCATCATTTACATTTTCTCTGTCATTCTCCACTTCCAAATATTTTACCTGAGCTTTTTGGCAGATCCTAGGCCACAGTCAAGTCACAAGTGATTTTCTGTAGTTTGTTCATTTTGTCAACAGATATGTGTATCTCACCTCTCTCCACTTCCAACTCTCTCTCCTCATCACTTCCTCCCCCAGTGTTATAGCCATTTTGAAATACTGCTCAGAATGTGCCATGCTTTCCCACACCAGGCAACTGCACATGCTGTATCCTTTAAGACTTACCTTAAATCCCATCTCCACCTGAAGCCTTCCCTGAGTTCCCCCTTCTCTTTGCCCCGCCCTGTGGATAAGAGAGCCCTCTCTTATTCTCCCACAGAATCATGTAAACACCTCCCTTTAGCACTATATTTTCATTGTGGGTTTACTTGTTGGTTTGTAAGTTCCTTATTCATCTTTGTGTCCCCAGAGCCTAGCACATTGCCTAGCATATAGTAAATGCTCAATAAATGTTTGTTCAAAGAACAACTACTGTGTGTCAGGCACTGTCCTGGGTCCTAGGGGATGGGGGATGAGTAAGACATGGACCCTTCCCTTGAGGAGCTCAGAGTCTGAAGGAGGAGGCTGATATGTAAAGTAATGATTAGAGCCCAGTATTACAAGATCTAAGGAGCCCTGGTGGCACAGTGGTTAAAGTGCTTGGCTGCTAACCAAAAAGTCTGCGGTTCGAACCCACCAGATGCTCCGCGGGAGAAAGATGTGGCAGTCTGCTTCCGTAAAGATTTACAGCCTTGGAAACCCTATGGGGCAGTTCTGCTCTATCCCATAGGGTCCCTGTGAGTTGGAATCGGCTCAACGGCAGTGGGTAGTGGGTCATTATAAGATTTATAATAGGGGGTTTGGAGAGCACAGAGGAAGGAGAAAATGACTTAGCCTGGGGAGTCAATGAAGTCTTCCACAGGTGGGAATTATGGACTGAGCTGTGAGCTAGGAAATATTTTTACCAAACTGAGAAGTACACTAGGCAGAGGGAAAAACATGAACAAGGACAGGAAAGAGAATCAATGGGGAACTGCAAGAAGTATTGATATATTGATATACTGTACCATAATTTGGAATGAAAAACATGTTTTAGAAACCAAATGTGAGAGAGAAAAGGTTGTCATGCTGTCGTGGAGGTTTTAAGACTTTATTATTCTGACAATATTATTTTTAATCAGTCAGATGAATTTTATCGCAAGGCAGTAAAGATGTTATAGTCATCTTTGGTGAGATAAATAATAACTTACTTACAGTTTCTGGTCTGCCTCCTTCCAAAAATTGTTTGAGCTGACATAATAAAAGACACAGCCACAATAAGACTATTAATATAGAAACAGGAAATAAAAACCCTAGATGGGAGGGAATAATACAATTTCCCACAGTTCTTTTTCCTTTATTAGCTCACTTGGTCTTTGGATAGTCCTCAGTGGGTGGGCGGCAGGGTTCTATGTAGCTTACAGCTGGCATGTAGAAGTGCTTCTGTAAACGCTTGTGGGTTCAATAAAAACATGAATGTTTTCCACATTTTCCATTGATGCCACAGACACTCCTGGTGCTCTGATTTCTCTTAAGTTTCCATCTCCTCATGTTTTTTGGTGGGAATAATCATCTTTATTTTGCTGTTCTTCAGATTCTTTGCTTGTCTGAGCTTCTTCATCCAAGTTTCTTTCAGATTCTCTTGCCCATTTAAAGTTTTTCCCACATTTTCAAATAAGTCTATGCATAAAATTTGAAAAATACAAAAGTACACACATACAAAAAAATGTCTCCCAAGATACTATAATTAAAGGATATTCATGGTTAATTTTTTTTTAATTTTTAAAAAATTTTGACATCAGAAAGTTTTCCAGAATAGAACAAAGAATTCCTGAGTACCTTTTGCCCAGCTTCCCCAACTGCCCAACTGTTAACATTTTACTGTTTTACTTTCTCTCTCAACCTCTCCCCCTCTCCCTTTTCCTCTTCCCCTCTGTCTATCTATACATTTTTTTTCTGAACCCATTTAAGAATGAGTTGCAGACATCATGTACCTTTATGTAACGCTAAATGCTTCAGTGTGTATTTCCTAAAATTAAGGAATTATCTTGCATAATCACACTATTAAATTCTTATACGTATCCTTCTAGATTTTTCTATGCACACATTATTTATTTCTATTTAAATTAAATAATACATTATTTTGCTTATTTTTATGTATTTATATTTATTTATAGAAAGGAGCCCTGGTGGTGCAGTGGTTAGGCACTTGGCTGCTAATCGAAAGGTCAGCAGTTCGAACCCACCAGCTGCTCCATGGGAGAAAGATGAGGCAGTCTGCTTCTGTAAAGATTACAGCCTTGGAAACCCTATAGGGCAGTTCTACTCTGTCCTATAAGGTCACTATGAGTCAGAATCAACTCAACAGCAATGGGTTTTGTTTTTTGTTTTATATTTACTTATAATGACTTGCTTTTTTTGCTTACCGATAAAGAATGTTGATAATCTCATGAGTCTGCATTAGTCCCTGACCATAGACACAGTGGGTTTCTGGGTGGCACAACATTTTCAACAGACCACTCTACTTCAGAAAATTAACTGTTCTTATGCTCTTCTTGCATGCCTATTCAGATGTCAGTAGAAACTGCTGAGTAAATGGGCAAGGAGGCAGGTTAGGGGAAAGCCTTGAATGCAAATTTAATCTTTATTCTGTAGGCAGCAGAGATCCAGTGAAAGGTTTATAGCAGAGGAGTAAGCCAATGAGAGCTGTGTTTTCTGGAGATTCATTTGACAGTGTGTGCAGGATGAAGTGAAGAAATCAGAGCATGAGGCCATGAGTCACTTGGGTAAAATGATCCCTAGTGTCAAGGGCAAATCTCTGCCCAGGTAGAACAGAGCTTTCTTCAGCATAATGCATCCTTTTCTTTCACATGTCTTTCAGAGCTGGTTAAAGTCATATGGCTATCTACTTCCCTATGATTCACGGGCATCTGCGTTGCACTCAGGGAAGGCCTTACAGTCAGCAGTCTCCACTATGCAGCAGTTTTACGGGATCCCAGTCACCGGTGTGTTGGATCAGACAACAATCGAGTAAGATTTGCGTAGGACATTGTCTTTTAATTTTCTGGACTTACATTTGGATTCACATTTTTCATGGCCTTGTGTACACACCATGTTCAACCTACTCTCCTGTTTTTACTCCTGCAGTTCATCTTGGGAGGAAATACCCTAAGATGACTTTTTATGGGAGCTGGAGATGTGTTGAGGTGGAAGTCCCAGCTCTGCCATAAACTTGCTGTGTGACCTTGGACAACCATCTTAACCCTCTGGACCTTCGTTTACTTATCATTAAAATGAGGAGTTGGGTTATAGATGGTCTCTTAAGTTTCCTCTGGCTCTAACAACTTATGGTTCTATGGATCACCATGTTGGAGTTCCCTGAGATGTACATGTCTCATCTAATACAGAGAACTCTTGAATGATAATGAGTTGGCAACTCTTGTTCCACTTTTTCCATTTATCAAACATTTACTGAGTGCCTACATGTACCAGGCACTGTGCTTGGTCCTATGATCCCTGCCCTCCAGAGGCTCACTGTTTAATGAACAACACAGTCATAGCTGCATAATTCTGGAACTTGAAAGGAAATACTGAGTTTCAGGGAGATATCTGGGGGGTAATGACAAGTGAGTGAGACCAGTAGAATGATTGAGATCACGTGGGGAGAGAAGAATGCTGGGGATGGAACCCCATAAAGAAAGCTGAGAAGGAGCAGCCAGAGAGGAAGAGGAAGCCTGGGACTATGGTGTCATGGCAGTGAAGGGGGAAATGGCCAATAAGGTCAGCTGCTGCAGAGTGGCCAAGAAGGTAATGAAAGGTGTCTGCTAAGTTTAGTGAAGAGGAGGTTGTTGTTAACCACAGTGAAATGGTGGAGACAGTCAGATTGGAGTGGGAAGTAGGGGTGGCAAGGAGTGGAGATGGCAAGTGTAGAGAGATCTTTTAAGAAGCTTGACAGTGAAGGGAAGAAAAAAAGATGATAGCTGGGAGGGGGTAGATTTTTTCTTTAAAATGGGAGAGTGCTGAACATATTTAAATTTGTTTATGAAATAGCAATTAAAAAGGAAGGGCATGGAAAAGAGCTAGAATGAGCTCCCTGAGGTGGTGTGATAAGAGATGGGATCTTGAGCTCAGGTGGAAGGAGATAGCAGGCATGGGTAAGGATTCAAGGAAGCTTATAGGTGGAGGAACAGGAAGATGAGATTGTGGTATTCCACCTGATCGTGGATCAAGGAGCTATCTACCCCTGTGTAAGTCACTCCTTGAGAAAGTCATCTCTCTGGGCCTCAATTTATTCATCTGTATAAAGGAGTGTTGGGTTATAGCTCTCAAATTCTAGGATTCCATTATTCTAAGCTTCTAGAATTTAAAAATTTGGTGAGTCAGGGATTTTATAATTCTAAAATTCTGTCCAAACATTTTTTATTCCTAATTTTCTCTGATTTTGAGATTGCAAAATTCTTAATTTGACGATCGTACGTGGGTACAGTGGACTCCTTGGTCCTGCGGACTCACAAATGAGCTGGTTAAAGAGAGCCTAACCACTTTTCAAAGCGGGGGTTATTTTGAGGGCTTTGTGTAGACTACAGGGCGGTGCATCCTGGGGCAGGGGCACTGGTGTCTCTGCTGAGGCACCAGCTGGCCTTGGGTTTTACTCTGTTCCAGAAAGCCCCAGGCTTGTTGGACGGGGTTCAGAAAGTGACAGGTGGATGGTGAAAGGAAGAGGCACAGGGAATGATCTGAGGGAAGAGGATGGCATTTCCCTCTTGCAGTTCTACCCCTGCCTCTTCATAGAAAGGCGGGGGAGCAATATTCTGGAGGCATGGAAAGGAAGAAGGCGCTCATATTTAATCCAGAACGTGAGTGGGCAGTATGTTTGGTGTGACATTTAGAGACCTTAGTTTCAGCTGAAGCTCTGTGATCTTGGGCAATCGCTGCCTTTCTCTAGGACTGTTTCTTCTTTTAGGGGCCCTTGCAGGTCTAATTCAGCCTTGGTGTAGCAGAGGTGGCTCTTGGTTCTCTTCCCAGGGACTATTAGTAAAAGGAAGCAGTAGTAGCAATTTAAAGTACTATTTTGAGGCTATTTGACACTAGTCATTCACGCATTCATTCATTCATTCTTGACCAGCCTTGTGCTAAGCAGTGAAAGAAAAACGAAGTGCAGCCTTTGTTTATTACATTGCATGAATTAATAGTTCATTTATTCATTCAACCAAGTTCCAGTACTGCCTCACTATTTTCTATATTTTGCAAGTTACTTGCTTTATCTGTATGTCTTTTCTCTCTTCTGTAAAATGGGAATAATAATTTTTGGTTACCTCACAGGGTTGTTTGGAGAATCAAAAATTTTTAAAAAAAAAGAATGTGAACACTTTGAAAATTCTAAGTGTTTATATAAATGCACGGCGTTGTTATTATTATGTCTTTTATTATTGCTTACTGAGTATAGGACACTATACTAGTAATTAATTATTGATTACTAGTATAGGACACTAGTCTGGGCAATGTGGAGCATGCAAAGATGAGTAAGAGCTGGTCACTTCCCTCAAAGGGCTTTTAATGTTGGTTAAAACTGTCTTTTCTCTATATTGCCAATGGCAACTGCTTTTTAAAAAACTGCAAATGAGGTCAGACTGTTTTCCCTTCCAGCAATCCCAAACTATAGTCATGTGAGTCATTAAGCCATCACAGACAGAGAAGATCCAGGGATGGCCTGGGCCCCAATCAGCCACAATCTTTCAAACCTCCTATCCTGGCTCCTTTTTTATCCCCCATGATGTCCCAGGCCTACTGTTCCCTAATGTAACTTTACCTGATAACAAATAGTTATCAGGATTTACTTCATTCTAGGCACTGGACTGGCTTCTGGGGCATAAAGATGAATATGACATAGTCCTTGTCCTCAAAGAACTTACCATTTATTAGGGAAAACAGACTAATAGATTTAAAATCACAGTACAATGTAATAAGTTCTGTGGAGAATTACATTCCAAGTACTATAGTTGTTTACTGTATACCTATAGTACACTTCCTCAACACCTATAGTGAAAGAGAATTTGTTGCCTCCCAAGTGATCCCATTTTACTGTTGGGTAGTTTTGATTGATTCATTCCTTCATTCAACAAATAATTATTGAGCATCTTCTGTATCAGACACTGTGCTGGCACTGGGGATACAGTAAGGATCATATCCTCATGAATCAGGATCTAGCAGAAGAGACAAAGACCGGTCTGACAGAGACTGGAGGAACCTCTGAGACTATGGCCCTAAGACACCTTTCTGAACTGGAACTGAAGCCATTCTCGAAGACCACCTTTCAGCCAAACCATAGACAGGCCCATAAAATAAACAAAAACACCCAAGAGGAATATGCTCGTTAGAACAACCCATTATACGAGATCAAAAGGGCAACATTTGCCCGAAAGCAAAGATGAGAAGGCAGGAAGGGATAGAAAATCAGGACGAAAGGAAACAGGGAACCTAGGGTGGAAATAGGGAGAGTGCTGACACATTGTAGGAAATGAAACTAATGTCATGGAACACTTTATGTACAAACTATCAAATGGGAAACTAATTTACTCTGTAAACTTTCACTTAATGCACAATAAAAATTTCAGAAAAAGAAGAGACAAAGAATAAACAAGAAGGCAAATACATAATTTCAGGCAGTGATAAATGCTATGAAGAAAAATAAGGAGGGTAAGAAGATAGTGCTAGAATGGAGGGGGGGTATATTTTAGATAGGGTGGACAGGGAAGTCCTCTCTGAAGGGGTGACATTTGAGCAGAGACTTTAATGACGTAAGGGAACACACCATGTGAAGAGGAGCAGCGTTGCAAGCAGTGGGCACAGCAAATGCAAAGACCCTGAAGTGGGAGTAAATTTGGCATTTTCAGGGGACAGTGAGAAGGTCACTGTGGCCGGAGCATAGTATATGAAGAGAAGGGTGAAGAGTTGTTGGACAGGTGGGCAGGGGCTAGATTATGTGAGGTCTATGGTCTAGGGTGAGGAGTTTGGATTTTATTTTAGGTGTTTTGAGAAGTCACTGGAGGGTTATAAACCAGGGAGTGATGTGACCTAATTACATTTACAGAACATTTTCATATATACTCTCTCATTTGAGACTCACTACAGCCTTAGAAGGTAAGCAGGGCAAGAACTATAATTCTCATGTTGCAGATGAGGAAACTGAGGTTTACGCTGGTTCAATCGCTTGCCTGGAGTACTATGATTAGTGGTGGAGCTGGAAATATTGAGCCAAGGTCTTCTGATTCCGAGTCTCTTATACAGCAATGTTTCTTCATATTTGTTTGTAAGTGAATGAATGAATGAGTCAATCAGTCATGTTCCTTTTGGGTAGTCATCCCAAGGTCTAGGGTGAGAATGCATGCTGCCATTCAGGCTAGGACTGGGGAACTATGCAATGCCTTCCTATAGCAGCCAGTGACACAGTACAAGTGTATGCTTGTGTCTTCTCTCTGCCCAGGTGGATGAAGAAACCTCGATGTGGTGTCCCTGATCACCCCCACTTGAGCCGTAGGCGGAGAAACAAGCGCTACGCCCTGACCGGACAGAAGTGGAGGCAAAAGCACATCACCTACAGGTGCTTTGGCTGTCTCTTTCTCCCTGGCTTTGGCTCCACCCTCACTCAGTTTTTTCCTGGCCTGCGTTTCAGAGGCTCACACTATAGGTGGGTCTAGGGATCAGAACCAGGTACAGAGAGCCTATGATTTTGTCCTCCTTGTGACTTCCAGAGGATACTGTGACTCCAACTTCAGGTTTATTTGGTCCCGTGGGGGCTTACTAGTTGTGTTCTGTTAGAGGCCTGTTGTTTTGGTTACAGAAAGTGGGGTATGGTTTGTTCAGTAACTTTCAGCTGTGGCTGAACTCATACTCTCTATCAATGCTTGCCAAACTGCACTTCATCTGATCTGGATCCCCTACTCCCCAACTAAAATCAGCCTGATGGACTTCACCTGAGATTGCCAACCCAGCCTTGTTTCTCAAGGAGTATAGAGCACAGGAACTGAATCACAACAGTGTCACTCCTTGACTGACAGAGCAGGATAAGTCTCTCAAGTTAGACCAGAGACCAAGAGCAGGGCTGAGGAAGCCCATCACAGTGGACTCAGACATCAGAATTTGGGGTGGGCTGGAGCAAGGACCAGGAATAGGGCAGGCTTAGGTGGGTTGTAGTTGACAACTCTTGAGGCTCTGTTCCATTTCAGGTGGATCCCTCGGGTTCAAAGGCAGGATCTAAGACTAGGGGGTCGAATTGAAATGAACCAGTTCAAAGCCCTAAGACAGAGATCTTTAGAGTTGAACTCAGGGCTCTCCTGCTGACAAGCTGCAGAAACCAGAACAGGGTTTTTTTTAGAAATCTAATGAGAAGGAAACTTAAGAAGAAATCTGGGTAAGAAGCTGACTCTTAGGGTCTCCAGAAGAGGTGTAGTAAATTAAGAGAAAAAAGAACTGGGTTCTAACTCAACTCTGACCTGAACTTCTATCACCCAATCTCTCTGGGCCTCAGTTTCCTTACCTATTGAACAGGTCGTGGGATAGAGCACCCAGAAGTAGTGGTGCTCCTTTGTGGGTAGCCATGAAATATGGATATAATGACATTAAATAACTAAATCTATAACTGATTGAATCAGATACCACCCTATATCAACTTGTAGATAGACAAGCAATAGTACGTGCCAAAGTTTTTTTTTGAAGGGATTTTTCACTTAAACTCTTTTTCCTGTTTGGATATTTTTATAACTTTTATAATGTATGTATTTTATATGTATTAGGAAAAAAAGTTAAAATTTAGAAAATGCTATCCACTGACTTAATTTTTTCTGTGAATGGTGTGGAATCCCTTATTCAACATAAACTTTGTTAGAGATCAAGTATAAAACACTGATTAAAGCAAAGTTACTCTGGTTGAGGCAGGGGTGAGGACCCAGAGCCCTGCCTACTCAGCCTCTTCTTCTGCCCTTGGGGCACCTCAGCAGAATTCCAGGCTTCAAAATTTGAATATCACTGGGCCATATGTTCTCGGATACCCCTTTTAGCTCTACTAGTCTATGACTTTCTGTCTGTTCCTCTCTAATGACCCTTCCCTCTCTCACCAGCATTCACAACTACACCCCAAAAGTGGGTGAGCTGGACACACGGAAAGCTATTCGCCAGGCTTTTGATGTGTGGCAGAAGGTAACCCCGCTGACCTTTGAAGAGGTGCCATACCACGAGATCAAAAGCGACCGGAAGGAGGCAGACATCATGATTTTTTTTGCTTCTGGTTTCCATGGCGACAGCTCCCCATTTGATGGAGAAGGGGGATTTCTGGCCCATGCCTACTTCCCTGGCCCAGGGATTGGAGGAGACACTCACTTTGACTCAGATGAGCCGTGGACACTAGGAAATGCCAACCATGATGGTAAGGCCATGAGAAGACACGGGGTCAGTCCTGGGTTGCTCTGAGGAAGCCCTTGGAGGACACCATAGATGAGGTTCCTGTTTTCTAGAGCTTCTAGTCCAAGACCTAAAACCTAAGAGTGGGAACTGTGGTCTCTAATGATATTCAACACTGGGCCCACCAGGGCCAGAGCCACGGAGATGGGTCAGATCACTTAGTCGATGGTCCAATTAGGCTGAGTCAGGAGGGAGGGGCTAGGCCATGATTAAGACGATAAATTAATGGATCAGAGGTTGGAGAAAAAGGTAAAAAGGCATTAATCTTAGGGTCTCAAAGTGGTGGGCTCCAGCCTAACTAATGAGGGCTCCAAAGGCCATCTTATGGAATGACTTGACTGACTCTCTCTCTCTCTCTCTCTCTCTCTCTCTAGTCAACGTCACAGGTGAATAACAGGGCCCATAATTACTCTAGCATTCTTGAATAACTTGCCCTTCACCATAGGATTCAATTCATATCTGTGAAGCAAGAGTCAACAGTGTGCAGTAATAATAACAATACCCTTCAGGTTGCAAAATAGTTTCCTCATCAATATTTATTCACAGACACTTGCCTAGTAAGTAGGCAAATACACATTATTATGCCCATTTTTAAGATGCGGAGTTTGGGGTTCCAAGTGGTGACGGGACTTATCTCAAATGGCACAGCTAGGCGATAGCAGAGCTGGGGCCTGGTCCAGCTGGAACCTGGTCCACCTACCTGGCTATGTGACTAGGGGTCAATAATTCACCCTCTGTCTCATCTATAAAATGAGGGGCTGGATTAGATGATTTCCAAGGTCCCTTCCAACTCTAATGAAACATGCTGCAAAGCCCAGGAGGACCTGAACAACAACAACAACAAAAAGACAACCTCTCTGCTCTCCGGAAGTCCAGAGTCAAGAGTGGGAGATGTGTACATAGGTAGCCCTGTCACAAGGCAGGATGTACTGAAGGCTGCAGCAGAGGTACCAAAAAATGCAGGAGTCTGGAGGAGAGAGGGCAGAGAATTCTGACTTTTAGATTATAATAGATAGTGAGTAGTACTTCAATTTCTAAGACCCATGCCAAGTGCTTTCTACATATTATGTCGTAGATAGATACTATTATCTCCATTTTACAGACGGGTAAACTGAAGCATAGAGAAACATTAGGTAATCTACCTAAGGTCCCATAGTTGGTGAATGGTGAGGTAAGGCTTTGAACCTGGGAATTATGACCCCAGAGCCCATACTCTTAGCCACTTCAGTGGTTCTCAAACTGCAGAGAACATGAGAATCGCCTGGAAACTTATTTTTAAGAATGCAGATTCTAGGCTCTAGGCCCCCACCCTCTTACAATTCTGACTCTCCAGGTGTGGGGTAGAGCCTGGGAATTTGCACTTAGTCTAATAAACTCCCCGGTACTTCTGAGGCAGTTACTCTACTCCATCACCTTGCAAAACAGTTTTACTCTCCAGAGTTTCCCTAACTTGCCTGATCAAAAGAAGCAACTGGGTTCTTGTTATAGATTGCCAGGCCCTTCCCCTGGATATTTTGATTGTTATGTTTAGGCAAGTTTGGGAAACACTGGGTATTCTTTTTCCCTGATCTTGGCAATGCTTCAGGTTCAGAGCAGACTCCTGAAGGCCCATTTCCTCAGAGGCCATGTTTGGTGCCTGTAGACAGGGACTGCCTCCTTGAGAATGCTTCACATTATTGATCAGACGATGGTTTGGCAAAGTTATGCCAAAGTTAGCCTAGGCAAAATTACAAAACTGATAAATTTCTCTTTGTTCTCTCCTTTTTTCTTTTTGTTCTCTTTCCTACCAGCCTCCATTTTTTCTGTCCTGGTATCTCTCCCCTTATGTCCTTGATGTGTTTCCTGGCTTTCTGAGTACCTATTCTTTATCTAGGTCTTATTCTTGGATCAGTGTCAAGAATGGCTGTCTGTGCTAAACTGATAAGGTGTGAGGGAAAGAGAACTAACATTTTTGAGCCCCTATTATGTGCCAGGCACTGTTAGCTGATAAGGTTTTAGTTATACCCCTGATAGAGATAAATGAATTTTAAAATAGTTGTTGTCCAGAGAAGGTACTAGGAAGACACTCCTACTCCCCTGCCCTCCCCTTTTTCCCTGCTCTGGCAATTTGCACTTCCCACTACCACTCCTGGCCTTTGGGGAACTTGTTTGGCCCAACCTCACAATCCCAAGAACTTCTGGAGGTGTGTGTGGGAAGGAGCTGGGACCTGTGGATGGGCACCTCCTCCCATCTATCCCATCTGTCCCGCCCCATCTGTCCCGCCCCATCTTTGATGAAAGACTGCCAACTCTGATAGAAATTCCAAGGTGGCTAATGTCTTCTTTGGACAAGAGTCAGGACTTTTTTCTGCTTTGGAAAACCCCAGCATGAATTGTCCAGATGCATCTCATGACCCATAGCAATAGATGAACGGCTGGAGAATGGGAACTCAGTGGATTATCCTAAGACAGGCTTTGGAATGGGAGAAAAAGAAACAAGATTTACTGAGCACCTGTATAATATATCGCTTGATTTCCACATAAACTCCACGAGGGAGTAAGCAGAGTCTCCTGGGAACTTTTTGTTTACTGGCTTTCTTCTTTTTTATGTTTTATTAGGGAATATGTCAAATTCACAAAAGTAGGGAGAAGAAGAATATGAACCTCTGGGTACCCATCACTCTGCTGCAGCAGTTATTAACACTGTCATTCCTGTTTCATCTACCTCCCCCCACTTTTATTTTTTGGCTGATGTTTTAAGGAAAATCCTAGGTACACTATCATTTCACCTGTAAATACTTTGCCTCTAACAGATGAAGGCTTATTTTTAACATAACCACAAAATCATTGTCAACCCCAACAAAATTAATAATTTCTTAACAAATTCTAATAGCCACTTTGTGTTCATTTTCCTAAATTCTCTCAAAAAATGTAATTTATAGTTGTTTGCTTGAGTCAGGAATCAAACAAGATCCACACGTTGCATATAGCTGGTATGTCTCTTAAGGCCCTTTTAATTGAAACAGGCACTATGGTTCTGGAGGACTGCACTTCTGACCACTCTGCTTCCCTGCCTCGCCCTCTCGCGGGGCGGGGGACCTTAACAGCTTCCTATCAGTTAAGCACGGGTCATCCCCATACACCAGGCCCCGCCTCCTCATGCCTCTGCTTTTCCCCTCACCAGCTCCACAGAGTCCTCCTGCCCCGCGGCCCTCTCCTTTTGTGTCCTCCCCAGAGCAGCCCCCATGTAACTGGTCTCTTGGGTTTCTGTGCAGTAGAATGCCAGCTCCCTGTCTCTTCCTTTTTGTCCCTGGAACAAACCCACAGGCCCATTTCCTCTAAGGGCTTACTCTTGCCGTCTGCAGAGACCCAGGCACAAAGGTCAACAGAGAACAGACACAGGCCAAGGACAAAGGTTCAGAATCTCTCCAGGGGCTCAGAGCCCTGCAGTCTGGTTCCCCAGCTGAGATCCTTGTGGATGCCCCTGAGGAAGGACCTGGTCAGGAGACAGAGGCCCTGAACAGCTTGTACCAGGCTAAAGAGCAGGCCAGAAGCCAAGCCAGGACTGGACCCCAGGAAGCAGACCTGCCTTCTGCTGGCTCTATCAGCCACCTTTGTTTGGGATGGAGCTCAGAGATGAGCTCACCCTTCCCCGCTGCCAGAGGGACCTGGGCCTGAGGAAGGAGCTGGGGGCGGCCTGCGTTACCATGCCAGCCTGCCCTTCCCCAGCAGAAGGCCAGCCCCAGGCTTTTGGCCAACTTTGCACTGATCTTACCCATCCCCCTCCCTTTCCATTGCTCAAAGGTGACTTCCCTGAAGATACTGGTGGTGTCAGTAGAGTGGGAGGCACACACTTCCCACCCATTCTGGGTCTGCCACATGGGGTTCTTCCCTCTTCCCAAGACCTTAGCAAGAAAGGCCAGAGACAATCCCCACCCACATCCGACCCTTATGGCTAGGCTGGGTTGGGGCAACTTTACTAGTGATTCTGGGGCCAGAGGGAAAAGAAGGATTCCTGATCACCTCATAGGTTCCTGGCAGCCGTCCCTGGACTTAGAGGTGGCAGGATTGGGGCTGAAACATGCCTTAGGGCTGGGAGATAAGAGGCAGGGGTCTGTAACAGGGGGTCTGCAAACAGAAATCAGAACTGTTGATACAATGGCCTGCCTAACTCCCTGACCCTTACATTTCTTTCCCAAATGCAAGCCTTGTCCTGTCCCAGGCTTAATCCAGAAGCTCAGGGGAGTTGGCTACTGGACCCCATTAGCCCTGGGCTTCCTTTTCTGGTTAATGGGCTTATTCCAATAATCAGGCTTCTTTCTTATGTATGATAACAACAATGGCTAGTATTCAGTGCCATGCACTTTACTTGTATTATCTTATTCAACCCTGTGAGGTGGATAAGAGTTCCTCATTTGCAAAATGAAGAAATTGAGGTTCAGAGCGTAGATCTACTGGCCAAGTTCATGGTAGGGGGCAGAGCTGGGAATGAACGAGATCAGTCCCACACAGGGGCCCTTGCTCGTAACCGTCATGCCATGTTGCAGCCTCAGTTTCATACTGAAGATCCTGCATCCCACTTTCAGCATTAGGATCTTGTTGTTTTTCCCACATTTGATCCCTGCCTTGATCTTGGCCAATAGTTCAGTTTCTCCAGGACTGAGGTCTCCCCAGACTGAAAGCTGTCCCCAAGGCCTGGGGCCCTGCTTGCCCTTGGGCCTCCTTAAGACCAGCCTGCCCCCACACCCTCACCCCAGGGCTACCCCTACTTGTACTTCCACCTTGACTCAGGCCCTTTTCACCTGGACCTTTGTACCAGCTTCCAAACTGATTCCCCTGCCTCTGGTCTCATTCCCCTCTAATCCTTCCTCCAGCTGCAGCCAGAGTGACTTCATCTGCCACCACCCCCACTCAACTTAAACCCCCTACTGGCCAAGAAGCAAATCCAAATTCTTGCGTATGGCATTACAGAGCCCTGCTTGCCAGCCTGACTGACCTCATCGCTCTCTGGCCCTCCCCTCATGCTTTGTTCCAGAGCCAAGTGGAATAAAACTGCTTGTCCCTGGACGTCATTTATGCCATTCCGTCTGCCAGGAATGCCACCCCCACTCGTCTTCCTCTCCTACCCTCTGAATCCATTCTTCTGACTAACTTCTTATCTTTCAAGACTTAAGCTTCACCTTTATGAAGCTTTCCCTGAACACCTTCTGCCAAGTTTAAATGACTCCTCCTTCCTCAGAGTCCCCACTGGACCCTTACAGGCATCCATTAAAGCACCTGGGACACTCTGTTGCACATATTTTGTCTCTCTGTTTATATCATCCACTATATTTGAGAGTCCTGGAAGGCAGGGATTGTGTCTGATTTCTCTTTATGTCCCCAGTGTCCAGCACAGGACCTGGCACAAAGCACATGCTCAGTGTTTGCTGAATTAATGGATTGACTGGGTGCCCTGTACACCTCCACATCCCTCTCTCTACAGGCAATGACCTCTTCCTGGTGGCTGTGCACGAGCTGGGCCATGCGCTAGGCCTGGAGCACTCCAATGATCCCAGCGCCATCATGGCACCCTTCTACCAGTACATGGAGACACACAACTTCAAGCTGCCCCAGGATGATCTTCAAGGCATCCAGAAGATCTATGGTGTGTGGCAGGAGACAGCAGGCCACCCCTCCTTCTGCGGGGCTGGACTGTTACTGCCTGCATGTCGGGGGCAGGGGTGGGATTGGGAGCTTTGCCATTCATGGGCATAGCTGGTGTGTTTCATATTTTCACACTGCTTTCTTAGTTTTCTGAACTTGGACTTTGCTTTCTACATCTACTTTTATTTCATCTCCTTAGGCCAGGAGTCAGGAGGCCTGGATTCAGATCTAAGCCCCATCTCTAGTCTCAGACCTTTAGAGACTTCTAACGTCTTTGCTTGGGCAGAAAGGGCAAGGTTTTCCCTGGCACATTTGGGAAACCTAGGGGAGGGTCTAAACTGCGACAGGGAGGGACAAAGTGATAGAAACTGACCCACTTTCTTTTCTACCCACTCCCCCTTCTGCACACCTGCCTCTCACCTCCTGTGGTTCATTCACCAGATGGTGACTGAGCACCCTTAAGGAGTCCTGCCTCTAGATGAGAGATCCACACATCTGCCCAAGTAATGATGATACGATGTAAGGAATTTTATATAACTCAAGCTTTTTTCTTAAAAAAGAAAAAATGAGAAGCAAGGCTGGTATTCTGGTACTTCTGAAAGGCCTCCTATACCATGTCTCTTTCCCCATTCTCTGTTTACACTGGTACATGAAGTTCTTGTCAAATGAATCAGTTGTGATGGGAAGACCAGTTTACTTGAGCAAATAAATGTCTGTCAACATTGCAAAGGAAAAGAAGTGTGCCCTTCTGAGGTGCCTGCTCCCATAACCCACAGGCTATGGGGCATAGGAGGAGGGCTCCCTCTAGAAACTCTGAGGGCTTCATGGGGGAGGTAGCCCCAGCTAAGGCCCTGGAGGATGAGCAGGATCTCCATAGGTGAAGCAGCAGAGGACCAGATGAGGCTGTGGGGGCTGGAAGGTACCTTGAAGGTAGAATGGACAGGATTTGCTGATAGACATGGAGGTGAGGAGAAGTGGAGCAGGGGTCAAGGATGACTTCTGGCTTTTGTAATTGTGGGGCAATAGGATTTACTAGTTTACAGCTCAGAGATCTGGACTGGGATATTGAGCTGGGAACTTCAGTGTTCAATACAGTAGGCTTTAGCCACATGAAGCTATTTAAATTTATATTAATTAAAATTAAATAAAATTAAATTCTCAGTTCTTCAGTCACACAAAGAACTAGTCACATATTTCAAGTGCCCAATAGCCACCTGTGGCTAGAGCCTTCTCTATTGGACAGCACAGATACAGAACATTTCCATCATCAGTTCTCTTGAAGAGCTCTGACATAGGTCTTTAAAGCTGTGCACCTGGATAAGATCACCTAGGGTAGTGATTCTCACTCTTGGCTTCCCACTGGATTCCCATTGGACCTCACCTTGAGATTCCAGTCAAAAATACTGATGCTCAGACCTCACCCCAGAAACTCGGTTTTAATTGGTCTGGGGTACCTCCTGAGCATCAGAGTTTTCAGATGACCCCAATGTGCAGCTAAAGTTGAGAACCACTGACCTAGGGACAAAAATAGAGAGGACCCAGGGCTGAGCCGGAGGCACTCCAACTTTTAGAGTTGGGCAGATGAGGAAGGGAGGCTGAGAAGGAACACACTGTGGAGCAGGAGGAAAACCAAGAGAGTCCAGATTCTGGAAACTGAGAGGAGAGTGTTTAAAGGAGAAAGTTTCTGTGATTCTGCTACTCAAAGTGTGGGCCTTCGACCAACAACATTAGCATCACCTGAGAGCTTGAAGAATCGTAGGCCCCACCCCAGACCCTCTGAGTCATAATCTGCGGTTTCAACTAGATCCTCAGATGATTCATTTGCACATCAAAGTCTAAGAGGCACTGTCCTACAATACTGAGTCAAATAATCCCTGAATTTGGCAACATGGAGTGACAAGAGCAGTTTCAGGGGGTGATGGGGCAGAAGTGGCAGTGGAGTGAGATAAAAAATGAAAAGGAGGGAGTGAGAAAGTGGGGCCACCTGTGTGAAGGGCAGCAAAGAAATAAAAGATAAATGGTGTTATCTGGAGGAGGATGCAGGGTTGAGGAAATTTTGTTTTGTCCTAGATGGGAGCAACTTTGTATGCTGATAGGGATGATCCAGGGAAAAGGAGGGGGTGATTATGCCAAGAGAGGGGAAGAACTGAGAAGCAGGAGACAGGGAAAGGGTATGGGACACTGAGCCTAAGGAGGGACATGTTCTGTCTTGTAACGGGAGAAAAAAAGAGAAGATACTAGATTTGAGGGTGGGAAGATGAGCGTTCCCATCTAAGGGCTTCTGTCTTCTCAAAGATGGTGGAACTGGTGGTGTGACAGACTTCTCTTGGAACTGCCTGGTCAGGATGAGATAAGGCATGGCAGTGGGAGGCAGGGAATGGCTTCCCCTTCTCTAAGGTGCATACCCTCTCTCCAGGACCCCCAGCCGAGCCACTGGAGCCCACAAGGCCCCTCCCCACGCTCCCCGTCCGCAGGATCCACTCACCGTCTGAAAGGAAGCATGAGCGCCAACCCAGGCCCCCTCGGCCACCCCTCGGGGACCGACCATCCACACCAGGAGCCAAACCCAACATCTGTGATGGCAACTTCAACACAGTGGCCCTCTTCCGGGGCGAGATGTTTGTGTTTAAGGTAGGACCAGTCGACTGGTGCCACCCAAGTGGTCCCTCCCACACCTTTCCCCACCAAGGAGCCAGAGAAGGCTGCTGCTCCAGAATTAGACCTGCTTTGGGGCCTGCAGGGGAGCTGGCCCAGTGGTCAGGACACGGCAGGGTCTCATCCTGGGTGAATCAACTGTCCATTTCTGAGGGGTAGGGGGAAAGATTGGTGATCCTAGACCTTCCCAGGGGTTAACACTGGGGAAAAGTACTGGAGGCCAGCTTCTGGTCTGTGACCTTGAGCAAGCCACCTTCCTTCTCTGGACCTCAGCTTTTCCACCTGAAAGATAGGGTAGTCACTCCTCTATTTACAAAGGGTTGTAGGAAGATTAAGTGAGCTGTGAAGATACTAGGCTTCGGGCAGGGACTTGATCAGTGGTGGCTGATCTACTCCAGATCCTGGCAGGGCCTGAGAGGCTAGTACTGAGGGGTGCCTGGAAGAAAGCTGGCCAGGCTACATCTTGTCACCTGTCCTGTTCCTGTCACCTTAGCCATGGGTTGACTGGGTGGCAGCCTGCTTGGTGTGTTGCAGGTTGGGTCCTCCAGGAAGCAGACTTGGAGATAGTGTTTGGAATACAGGATTCTTATTAAGGAGTATCTTTGGGATCAACATCTGTGGAAGGGGTGAGGAGGAAGCAGGACTGTGTAGAGGGGCAAGTCAAGCAACAACGTAGGCCCATTGCAGACTTGGTCATCCCTACAGGGAGCTATGCAGCTAGAATGGCCCAAAATGGCTGGAACTTTATACCTCTGCCTCATTCAGTCACTGGATTACGAAGGGCATGGCCTTGGTAGAGGCTCTCTGAAGCTGAGGCCATCCCTGAAGGGGCTGACAGTTGAAAAGTGTCCTTTGATCACACTCCCAGCCACTGAAGGGGGGGTCTGAGCAGCACATCTTGTCTCCTTCACACTGGGTGATGTGAGGAGGGCAGGCCCACTCCTTCCATGAGTTCTCCCCAGCAAGCTTTGAGCACTAAGCAAGAACCAGAGGACATGGATCAGCCCCAGTCCTGCCTCTCACCAAGTGGCTCTAGCCAAGTCACTTGGCCTTTCTTATGACTCTACTTAACAGAGGTGTGAAAGTCAAAATAAGGATTAAAAAATTGAATGTGGGAGTGCTTTGTAAAACACTGTTAAAAAATCTTTTCTAGCTTTTGTACCATCTTTTACAGATCACATTCATTCTTCTGTACTTACTTCTCTTTGATCCTCCCAACTGACCTGTTTATAGGCAAGTCTGGGTTCTATCATCCCCGTTTACACGTAAGAAAACAAAGGGGCTGGGAGGTTACGGGACTTGCCCAGACAGCTTACCAGGAAAGGGCGGCACTGGGCACAAGCACCAGGTTTGAAGAGGAGAGGTTTTTATCAGACTCTTTGCCTATCTAGCTGCTGTTTATTCAGCTTCGACTGTGTGCCCAGTAGTGTTCTGGGCACCTTGCCTACATTCTTATTTGATTCTCCATTATTACCCCCATTTGAAGAGGTTAAGTATTTTGCCCCAGGCCATGCAGCTGTAGGTGGAGGAACCTGGAGTCACACTAGCTCTTGGGGGAATTCCCACGGCTTGCTTCCCGCCATCCTTGCCTTACTGGTTGGAGCCAGCCCCTGTGGAGGGCACTCCGCCCAGGCTCAGTGACACCCAGTGCTTCCCACCAGACCAAGAACTGGTCCGGCTGATGTCAGTTACTCTCTGCTGCCCCGATGTGGCCACTCCAAGTCCCAACATCATCCCTCCAGCTCCTCCACACCTCCCTACCCCTGCTGCAGTCAGTCTCACAGTCCCTGGATTTCTGCCGCCACGGGTTTATCCTGCTGCTCTACGACAACCCTTAATGCCCTGCCCCAGGGGAGGGGAAGGGAGGAACAGTCCTAGTTATCGGAAAAGTTCTGCCTCTGCTCCTGACTTGCGGCCCAACCCTGGGGGAGTCATTATCCTCTCTGGGCCTCAGTTATTCACTCACTGAGTGGGAATTACAATCTCCTGCCCATTCATTCCTTCATTTGACAAAAAATTCTTGATAACCAACCCGGGCTAGGTTTTGGAGGTCCAAAAATGACCCAAACTCCCATCTTCCCCACCTTTGAGCAACTCCAAGCCCAGTGTGTTTTAGTTTATGTGGAACAATAAGATTCATTCATCCACTCCAGGGGGACACATCATTGCAAGAAGTGTGATGTGCTGAGGTCCTCAGGTGAAGAAAGGACTGACTCTCTGCAGGTTCAGGAAAGGCATCCCCAAGACAGTGCTATGTCAGCTGGAACTTGAGCAGTTCAAAGTGGCTCTCCAAAACAAACCTGAGGAGGAAATTCTAGGCACCAGGAACTCCTTGTACAAAGGCAAGGAGGCAGATAATGGCTTGGCTTGTTTGGGGGAATGCAAGGAATCCCTGTGTGGCCGGAGCATGAGGCAAGGGGAAGGGATGAGAACAAGACGTGAGGAAATTCCTCACTAGTGAGGGAATCTCTCACTAGTTTGGAGCTAGATTGCGAAGAGCCTCGTTTGCCTGGCCTGGGCATTAGGGATGGCCCCACAGGGCAGCAGGATCCATCAGGAGGTTTGAATGTGGAGAGTCACATGAGCACCTGTCTTCCTTATACCTTCCTTACAGGGTTTTGAAAGGAAGGAGCAGTGGATGCACAGACTCCATGGAAGGTTGCAAGGCTGGGTTCAGAGGAAGGTGTGCGGTTGTGGGGCTGGAGTCAGTCACTGGGTTCAGAGGCAGAACCTGCCATGTCTTTCTCTCCCCAGGATCGCTGGTTCTGGCGCCTGCGTAACAACCGGGTACAGGAAGGCTACCCAATGCAGATAGAGCAGTTCTGGAAGGGCCTGCCAGCCCGCATAGATGCAGCCTATGAAAGGGCTGATGGCAGATTTGTCTTCTTCAAAGGTAATGCAGCCTGTGCGGTGGGACCTGGGACAGGTCCCTGCCCCTCTTGGGACCTCTTTTTTCCCATCTGTAAGCTGGAAGAGGTGGGTGGCAGCTCAGCCCCTTCTAGCCCAATAGAGACACTGACCTCTGGCAGGACAGATCCTTCAGGCAGGCAATCCACAATCAGGGGAAATCAAGTCAGGAAGGGCTTATTGAGTGAGGGTCTGTAAGTGCCAAGGTTGATGGATGACAAGACTTCCCACATGAAGTAGAAGGTGGTGCAGGCAATCCGAGACCATCCAGTGCTCCGTGGAGGACCATCCTGTCAGCTCTGTGAGAGCTCAGGGAGGAGGCCACACAGGCTGGAGAGGCCAGGGGAGTGGGAGAAGGGAGCTCACATGATAGCACACCCACACTGTGCCTGGCACTGTGCTAGGTTGTCTTACACCGATTATTTTGACTTGGGCCAGACTCAAAATGGGTAAGATACAGATGGTGAGAAGTGAGGGGGAAGAAAGCGTTCCAGTGGGAGGAACAGTGTGGGCAAAGGAGTGGTGGTGGGAATGTGCACGTACATTCAAAGGGCTTAGAAAACCCCCTGATAGCCATGAAGGCCCCAAATTGAAGAACTGTGCAAAGTGGCCTGGAAAGTAGTTTAGGGGCAAATCTTTAAGAATGTGGTCTTGCTCCATTAGGCCAACGCTGGAGATTGTTTCAGAGAAAGCTGAAGGGCAGCTGGCAGTACCATAGGGCAGAGGCAGGGAGGCCATTTCTAAGATGGTTGCTGGAAATGAGGAAAATGATGCCTACGAGGCCCAAACCAGGGCAGGAGCAGTGGGGCTAGGGAGGAGGGGACAGTGCAAGGAGATTAAAAAGGGCTTCTATGAGGCTGATTGCTGAGAGGAGAAGGAAAGAGAGGGTCAGAGATGATGGCAGGATTTCTTGTTGGGGACACTGGTAGGCAGAGAGGTGATGAGGGAGAAAGGCCCTCTGTGGTGAAAATGACTTGGAGATACCCACGAGCCAATGGGAGGTTGGGGTATCTGGTCCAGTGGGAGACTAGCTTTGGGCTACTACTACAGAGTTGGGTGTCACTGGTGGCAGCAGGGGGAGTAGTAGTGTGCGTAGAGCCGTGGGACTGGTTGAGATCACCCACAAAGGAGAGATGAACAAGTCACGTGAGAAGAAAAGAGGGTAGAGCACAGGGCTCCGGCAGCATGCAGCAAGTCGTCCAGGATCCATGACTGGCTCCTGACTTCTTGCCCCTTAATCTCTGCCTGGGCCAGGGGCCTCAGTCTCCAACCAAGGAGATCAAGCAGGCCTAGGGCTCCAGACATTGTGCATCTATCAATGTCCAATCTCAGCAGAAGATGGGCAAGTGGCACTAGCCACAACCTCTGGCATTGAGTGACTGGGAAAGGCTGATTCTGGGCTCCTCTTGACCACAGGTGACAAATACTGGGTGTTTAAGGAAGTGACAGTGGAGCCTGGGTATCCCCACAGCCTGGGGGAGCTGGGCAGCTGTCTGCCCCGGGAAGGCATTGACACAGCTCTGCGCTGGGAACCCGTGGGCAAGACCTACTTCTTCAAAGGCGAGAGGTACTGGCGCTACAGCGAGGAGCGGCGGGCTACAGACCCTGGCTACCCCAAGCCCATCACCGTGTGGAAAGGCATCCCACAGGCACCCCAAGGGGCCTTCATCAGCAAAGAAGGATGTACGTAAGGGCCCAGCTGGATGGGGGTGGTCCAGGGACTCTTCTGGCATACTCTGTGTGGTAAAGATCAGCAAGAATCCAGTCCTCTAAAACGTGAAGACTGATCCAGTCCTCAGAGTCCACTTCTCCATCCTCGTCGCCCCCATGGCACTCTCTCTCTGACCCTAATTACCTGGAGCTAGGTCAGATCTCACAAGTTAAAAGGGCACCGTTCTTCAGACCATCAAATAGGCAGATGCCAGCTACAAGCCTAGGGAGTCCACAAGACACCCTAACCTCTTGCTGTCCTAGCCACAAATTTGGGGCTGGTTGCCCACTAACCCTTGAGGATGCCAGCCACAAGCTTGGGAGTGTACACGACACCCTTACTTTCTGACCTGCTGGCTCCTACTGCCCCTTTGGGTTCGATAATTCACTGAAACAACTCATAGAATTCACAGAAAGTAAAAGGGCCCTCGGTGGCACAGTTTGCACTTGACTACTAGCCTACACGTTAGAAGTTCTAACCTTCTGAGCAGTGCTGCGGAAGAAAGGCTTACAGATCTGCTTCCACAGAGATTACAGCCAGGAAAACCCTATGGAGCAGTTGTACTCTGTTTAACACTTGGGGTTGCTGTGAGTCGGAATTGACTTGACAGCAACAGGTTTATACCATATTTATGGCTACAAGTTTCTTAGAGCCAAAAAGGATACAAACAAAGACGCATAGGGCGAGGGCTGGGAGGCGTTCCCAATGCGGAGCTTCCATGTCCCAAGGGATCACCACCCTCCCAAGATCAGATGTTCTTGCCAACCAGGAAGCTCTATGAGCCTCTGTGTTCAGGGCTTTTATCAGCCAGTCCAGCATGATAGGCTAAATCATGCCTCCTGAGGCTAGTTGAGGAGCCCTGGTGAAGCAGTGGTCAAGAGCTCAGCTACTAACTAAAAGGTTGGCAGTTCAAATCCACGAGACACTCCTTCGAAACCTTTTGGGGCAGTTGTGCTCTGTCCTCTAGGGTCGCTATAAGTCGAAATTGACTTGACGGCAAGGAATTTTTTGGAGGCTAGTTGATATCAGCCTCCCAGGTCAGTCTTTTCTGGTCTGGCCAGCTAACCCCTATATGTCAGCACAAATTTCACAGGTGTGGCCTGGAAATCCCAGACCAAAGCACCCCAATTACTCCAAGGATCAATTCTCCAGAGCCAAGGACAAAGGCCACCTTACTTGGTATAAAACCAGGTCCTTTACCCAACACTGATTTTATGTGGTGCTCATAAGGACGTCTCAAACTAGGGCCTTAGAGACATGCTGTCATATCTACATTTGAGAAACACCTCCCTGGTGGCAAAGACAACTGCCTCATATCCACCCATGTTCACGGGTGAACTAATTCTTTCTTACCAGCTACAAAGTCACAATTTCTCATTTGCAGGGATGGTTCACAATTGAGATTTTTCACAGACTGACTTCATTCCTTCAGATGGTGTTTCTCAAACCATGGTCCTCAGGTCTACTCTTAGGGTTCAAGTTATCAAGTATGAAAAGCAATGATGGATATGGGTGGTTCAAGAGTGCTTTTTCACAGGGTTTGAGGGCAAGAAGATGGCGAGAGAAGCCTTTTTTATTGATGAGACTTTTCCTAAGTTCCTCTGGCAGGCTGTCAGACGCCCACCTGCCATCATGCCACTTACAACCTATTTCCCACCAAAGTAGGGGTTTCTCAAGAAGAGGGGCTGGGTCTTGCCGAGGGCAGAGTGGGTCTCTGTCAGAAGCACAGACTCTGCCTGGGTTCACATCCCACCTCTGCCACTTACTATGAGTTTAGGCAAACTACTTAGGTTTTCTGTCTCCTCGTCTACAAAATGGGGATGAGAATGGAATCTACCTCACAGGGCTTTTGTGAAGATTAAATAAGATAAATTATGTAGAGCATGTAGAACAATGCCTAGCACACAGTCCATGCATGTAAGTTTTAGTTGCTATTACCCTTATCCCCTTGTTGGTGTGTTTTAGTTTATGTGGAACAACAGGATTCATTCATTCACTCCAGAAATAATTACTGACAGCCAGGGTTGTGCAGTCAGGGCTGATTTAACAGTGAACAAGATTTGTATTGCAGTCCCTAGCTCCCAGTCTAGTGGCAGAAAACAAATAAGGTGGCAACAAATGCTGTAAGGGAAATAAATGCCATCAGAAAGAGAATTCGGCAGAGGGGGCCTCATTAGAGAGGGTGGTCAGAAAGGGCTTTCAGAGGAGGCATTGCTGGTAGAAAAACCAATGGCTCTCCTGTGTACCTGACACTTTCTTTACATACGTGGCCTCGTTTTGGGGGGAGCCTCAGAGACAGGTGACATCAAGGACCTTGACCAGTGAACGCCTCTGCCAGGGTAGAGAGCTGGCCAATGAGTCTGGGTGAGCTGCTAAGACTGTTGCTGGGAGCCTCGGGGTTGCTGCCCAGCCCCACCCCATCAGGGTCCCAGAGACCCTGCATCTGTGCTGTGATGTGTACAAAGCCAAAAAATCCATGATAATTGCAGAGATGTGGTGTCTGCTGTCAAAACAAGGAGAAATTTTGCTCCCTGACGCCCTTGGCTCAGACTAGAGGTGGCCTGAGGCCCCAGAGCTATGGAGGCAGTGCTGTCCAAGTCACAAACTAGGGGCTCGATCTGACACGTGGGAGGCCTGTGGGCATAGTACAGCAGAGCTGTGATGCAGGCTGAGAAGGGCCTGTCTGGGAGGCCAGTCCCTGGTGAAGGTCTTTTTCTGGTACAAGTTGAATTACATCCCAATTCTACTTAAGGGCCCTGTGGCTTCCCAGAACTGTTGAGATGGCAGTGTGGACACCTAGATCCTGGGTGCCCCTCTCTGCAGCTTCGGTATTTTGGTGCCTGTGCAGGTCATACTACATGCACCGGCCACACTATTTGCAGGGCCTGCCAAGTACCGCACCCTTCCCACCTCCAAGTCCCCCAACTTACCACTCCTTCCACTTAGTATGCCCACCCCTCTTTCAGAGCTCCTCTTGGCTTCTGTAGGGTGGGAGAGGGGACCCTCCTCTACACTGCCAAAGCACCCTATGCCCTCTCCCACCAGTCATGGTCATGGGGCCTCTGGGCCTGGCCCAAAGCAGACGCAGGGAAGTGTTTGGAAGTAATGGCACTGGGCCGTGTCTCTGCAGATTACACCTACTTCTACAAGGGCCGGGACTACTGGAAGTTTGACAACCAGAAACTGAGCGTGGAGCCAGGTTACCCACGCAACATCCTGCGTGACTGGATGGGCTGCAACCAGGAGGTGGAGCGGCGCAAGGAGCGGCGGCTGCCTCAGGATGATGTGGACATCATGGTGACCATCAATGACATGCCAGGCTCTGTGAACGCTGTGGCCGTGGTCATCCCCTGCATCCTGTCCCTCTGCATCCTTGTGCTGGTCTATACCATCTTCCAGTTCAAGAACAAGGCAGGCCCTCAGCCTGTCACCTACTATAAGCGGCCAGTCCAGGAGTGGGTATGAGCAGCCCAGAGCCCTCTCTGTCCACTCGGTCTAGCCAGCCAGGCCCCTCCTCACCAGGGCCTAAGGGGCAGCTCCAGCCACTGCCCACAGGGGCCAGCAGGGCCCTAGGCCAGGGTTGTGCAGCTGCAATAGTGGGTGCATTGGTTTAGACTGTCAGGCAGGGAGTGATGGGGGTTGTGCCCAGGGTGGGTGTCTGGCCCTCAGCTGCCAGCCTTCTATCCTGGGTAACCTACTCCCTACTCAAAGGAATAGTCCAGGCCCCATCAGGAAGCAGGGACCCTGTCAGGGGGAGCCCCTGTGGTCACCACATCCTTGGGCCTGCCCATGAGGCACCACAGCTTCATTCCTGGCTTGGGCTCAGCACCTTCTGTGGGAAGCCAGCACTAGCTCTCTCACCCCCATCTGGGAGATCCCACCAGTACTAGCCCCCTATTGCCAACACCTGCTGGTCAGATGTACCCCACACACCCCTGTCCTCCAAGGTTATACGATACCTGCTCCTGACACAGTGGGCAGCAAGCCTAGGTTTCCCCTGCTGGAATACAGCAGATCCCTCAGGAAACCTGTTCCACATGTCAGGGCCTCCTTGGAGACCCAGGATTTAGGGTCACATGCTGCAGGCAGGGCTGTGGCCCAACTGGGTCTGACAAGGACCCAGCCGTCACGTCGTGATAATTAAAATGTCCTGTCACTACTGTTTAAGTCCCATTCTGCAAAGGCTGCTTGAGGGTTTAGGTGAATTAGAGTTGACTGTCTTGGTGATGAGGCCAGTGTGGCTGGCCCTCCCCCAGGTGGTAAGCACCAAGGTGCTGCTAAGGCCACTCTGGAGACCAGACACCCCAGGAGCTGGGCCCTGCTCTGAGGCTAAAGAGCTGGGGCAGTAGCTGGCCCCATTTCTGGAGACCAATCTGAGCTTGTGATGCCCTGTATTCCCTCCCACGATCCCCCTCTTTCTCCTCACTTCCCTTACCCCATCCCCAGCCCTGCTCCAGCCTATCACTTTGGCCTGGGGGCTCAGCCTGACCAGGAAGGCTCCAGGAACAACATTCTTATGGCATTGGGGTAAGGGGCCCAGAGCGGCCTTATGAAGTGCTCAGAGCCCACTCCACCGGCTACCCCGAAGCCGCCTCAATCTCTCAGCCTGGAAGCAGTGTTTATACCATGAGCTTGGCCCTTCCTGACCCAGCTCATTGTGCCCATCCTTCTGCACTGCTCTTAGGTAAAGGGTATCCCCAGCTGGTAGTGGCCCCAAGCCTAGGGGCCTCCTTTTTTGACCCTTCTTGGGCCTAACCTTCACTGTCTCTGGCAGAAATTCCCAGGACTCAGCTTGCCTCACTCGAACCCAGCAGAAGCAGCCCTGCCTGTCACTGAGGTGCCCTTGGCAAGACCAATGGGCTCAGTGATGCCTGCTGGCTATCTGCCAACGTCAGAAGGTGGTGTCAGGCAGCCCTCAGGTGCTGCCCTTGCCCTCTGAGCTTGCATGGGCCTTGCCCCCCACCCCGTGGCCTCTGGGTTTTGGGTTAGCTTACCCTAGAGCACAGCCAGGGACTCCTGCTGCCCTGAGAGCTGTCTCAAGCAAAATCTCTCTAGTCCCAGAGGAGCCAATGTGGGCCTACTGCATCCCGTTGTCATCACCCTTCTGTTTGTTCTCATTTTGGCCAAGGGCAGGCTCCCTAGGGCAGGGGGAACGACTGCAGAGATATTAGTGATTCATAGATTTGTACAGTGTTTTATACTTTGCAAAGCACTTTATTAGCTTACATCTGTCCATTCACATGAAACACACATAGGCCCTGCGAAGCTAAGGGTGACCCTCACCATGCCCTTCCCTTAGATGAAGCACAGAGAGGTTCTGTTCCTTGCCTGGGCCATCCAGTGGGCTGCCTGGGCCTGTGTCCCACCTATGGACTCCTCTAGGGTCCAAGATGAGATCAGAAGTATCTCCTCTATCCATCTCCTGGTCTCCCTTCTCTCCCCACTGGTCCCTCTCTACCCCTCAGGTTGGTGCTCTCACTTCTTGATAGCTCTAGGCCCCTCAGGCTCCCTGCTGGCTCCTGGAACTACCTAGGCCAGCTGATAAACAGCAGGAGACAGAGGCAGGCAGCCCAGCCTACGGATGTGAGGGATGTGGGGCCAGGCCAAGAGAGGGCTGGCTTCCAATCTCTGGCGCTCCTGCTTTGTGAACATCTGTTTGTCAATCATCCCAGCACAGGGCAAACAGACAGGAGCAAAGCACTGGGGGCCCCAGAGCCCAGCTTTCCCTCAGCCTGGGAGACATCACAGCATTTCAGTGTCAGTCACATTTTAAACTGATCAGCCTTTGTATAATGTTTTTTAAATCATTTCTAAATAAAACGAAAATACAGAGTGTGTCATTTCCCTGGGGCGCGGGGACAAGGATCCAGTTCTGAGGGTGGCTGTGACAAGTTCCTGGGAGCAGTGGGGAACAGGGTGCTTCAGGTGTCAGGGAGCTGCCCCGCACATCTCATCTGTCAGACCAGCGATCAGAGACGTCTTTCCCTAGAGGTCCAACGTTACTGCGGTCCCAGGAATACAGCTTCATGAAGATCCAGGATGGAATGCAGCAACACTACTTAGCAGGAGTGTGAGATGTGGCAACGACTTCCCTGAGGTCAAAGCACACGGTGCCATCACCTGAGACAGACAACAACCCAGTTCTAAGCAAACAGATGGATGAGGTCAGCAAGTCTGCAGCCTTGAGATCTTACCATGAGCCCTGGTGGTTCTGGAAGCCAGTGGCAGGAAGTCGGGAAGTCTGTCCTCAGTCATGGCGAAGAGGGACCATGACCTTAAAACTAGACAGCCCCAGGACCCAGAATGTGGAGGTGGGGGTGGAGGTGGAGGTGGTCAGAGGCGAGGCAACGTCCCACGTGAGCTGGGGAGGCGGCCGTGCCGGGACTTCCTTCCAGTCCTCGCGACCTATTCGAATTCTCGGCCCATCTCTTAAAGACGCCAAGGGAGACGAGAGGTGGGTTGGGCTAAGAGAGACACAGGGACGTGAGGAGAGAAGACAAGGACCAGGCCGAGGCGGACAAGAACGACTGGCGGCGGCGACTTGGTGGCCGGTTACTCCGGCGGACGACCGACTCAGTACCAGGTGGTGCAGGCGATGAGGAAGCGCACGTCGTCCAGCGGCCCCCATGCGCCGGGCTCGGGCCGGGGATGCTCAGGGTCCTCTGGGACCGCGGGCTGGGGCTGCGCCGGCTGGGGCTGCGCCGGCTGGGGCTGAGCCGGTTCTGGGGTGTTCTGGCAGCCGCTAAGCTGGGCGCCCATGGTCTGCAGGAGGAAAGGCCCCAGGTCGGAGCACCCTCACCTCGGCCACGCTGCCCCTTACCTCACGCAGCCGGAACCGCGGCTCTCGAACAGCCGACAGGCCGGTGTTAAGTCCACTGGCAACCGCCGCGACACCAACAGTCGGCGCCGTGGCGTCATCTCGCCCTGTCCCTCCGAGCGGAAACGGGGACCACGTGACCGGGGGCGGCTCTCATCGAAACGCTGCCAGTCCCTGGCTCCACCCGTCACGGCCCCACCCACCAGCAACCGGCCAATCCCGCAACGACTTCCCGAGGCCCGCCGACCGGCGACCCAGGAACCGATGGAACCGCCTCCAGCCACGAAGGCCCACCCCTTCCGCCCGCCAGGTTTAAAGGGCGCTGGGACTCCACGAAAGCGCTGGTCGCACAGTGGTTACAAGCTATGGCTGCTAACGAGAACGTCGGCAGTTTAAATCCATCAGCCGCCTTGGAAACCCTATGGGGCAGTTCTACTCTGTCCTATAGGGTCGCTGAGTCGGAATGACTCGACGGCAGTGGGTTTTTTTTTTTTTTTTTGGGGGGAATCCACTGCCAGCTCTGTGCTCACCCAAGTTCCAAGAGAAAGGGACCTGTCGAGGTAGGTCTGTGGTGTCCAGGGCGCCTCTATCCACCTTAGGTCAAAGAGGACAAGACTGCCCTGTGGCCAGGTGCCCCCAAGCCCTTAAAGGGTCCCACCCAGGGGAGATTTGGGGCAGATTCTCATCCTGTGAAGCCCAGAGAAGGCTGAGGCTAAAGTTGGGTGGAAAATGTCTCTGGAAAAGGACTTCATGTTTGGTAACGTAGAGGGTCAGTGAAAAAGAGGAAAACCCTCGAGATGGACAGATACGGTGGCTACAATAACGGGCTCAAGTGTAAAGATTATGAGGATGGAGGATGGTGCAGGTCCAGGCAGTATTTTGCTCTGTTGTATATAGGGTCCCTAACAGACTGCATGCAACACAGTGAAGAGGGCTTCTTCCTCTTGCCCTGGTGGGATGCCTCCCATCCAGTGACGAGCTGGGGAGGAGGAGGGAGTAGTGGAACTGGTATGTGTGTATGTAGAATCCTACCCCATCTTCCCAAGACCCTGAAACAATGAGATGGGGGGAAGGGGGATCCTGGGTACCCAGGCTGAGATCAGCAAACAACACATTCAGAATGGCCAGAGGCAGCTGCCCTTTAATAGGGTGACACAGACAGCAGAACCCTCAGTCAGGAGCCACAGGGCCTGACAGCTGGCCAGGTTTTTATAGTAACTTTATGTTCAGGAGATGGGCACAGGTGAGATAGGCTGGACTCAGTTCCAGTGAGCTGTGTGAAGCTTCCCACCTCCCACCTCCCTGCCAGCATCCGGTACAGACTGGGTAGGGCATGGAGAGGGAGTCAAAGTCCAGAGCCAGGAGCCCACGGAGCAGCACAGAAGGTGACTTAGGTGAGGCTGAAGAGAGAGGAGGGAGCATTGTCAGTGGCGGCTTCATAGAGTACACTCCACCCTCCATTCTCAAGGTGCTCAGCCCTTAAAAGCCACTCAGAGCCCCATCCTGCCCCATCCCAGCTCCAGGTCTGAATGCATCCCACCAGTCACTCTTCCAGTCTATTAACTCTCAATGCTTAAAGGCTCAAAAGAAACTCTCTCCCCATTCAGGTGGGTCAGCTTATTCATCAATTTATTCAAATTGTTATTGGTCATAAGCCAGAGCCTCAGAGGACAAGTCCAGTAGACATTAGAGAAGGAAACAGGGGGCTCAGAGGGGGAAGGCATGTGCCTGAACCACAAGTCCTCCAGTGGCAGGTGAGGCGATAACTTTTCTAAGGCCAGGACTCTCTCGTTAGTGTCAACTAACCAGAAAAGGCCACAAGTACCAGGCTGGAAGAGACCAGCTCAGTAAGGATTAGTAGAAGCATTCTTACTTGAGGTGATAAATGTGCATAATTACAAGACTGAGGTACGTATTTTTAATCGCCTACCTGACATCTCTACTGCAAGGTCTCACAGACACCTCAAACCCAGTATGTCCAAGACCAAAGAAGTTTAGTGAGTTTTGTCTCTTCCTTCCCAATCCCCATTTCTTTATCTTGTCTAACTACACAGGCTAGGACCACCAGAACAATGCAGGTCATCGACAGTGATGGCAGACAATTCTGCCCCATTTCAGTGGCACTGTTTCTAATGTTTCACCACTAAATGTAACATTTATTGTAGTTTTCTAGTAGGTACTCGTAATCCGGTTACACAAATTTCCTTCTCAGGCTGCTTAGAGATTTGTTTTGTTTTTTAATTAAATGACTAATTGTGTAAATAGTGTTTTCCTTACAAGAGTCAACATTCCAAAAGGGCATGGAGGGTATCTATTTTATCATGACACCACTGGCTGGGCCCCACCCCAGACCTCAGGAATCAGAATCTCAGGGGTGATGTCAGGAATCTATTTTAGCAATTATCCCAAGCTATCCTAACATACACTGAAGCCCAAAACAACAGGCCTACGGTCAACTTCTTGAAAAAGGCAAAGTCCTCAACACTCTGGGAATACCACCTTTCTCCTTCACACACTCCACACTTTCCCATCTTTGCGTCTGTCTGAGGTGCTTCCTCCTCCATCTCTGCTTATCTCTGCATATGCAAACACCTGCTCATTCTTTAAAGCCCAGATTAAGTGATCTGTTCTGCGTGAAACCTTCCTGGATCCCATCAAGTTTCTCACCAGAGCTTCTGATGCCATCTGAGGACACTTAAGTTATTTATTTTCCTCCTTTAAAGGTAGCTAAGAGTTATGTGTGGTCACTGTCTTTTCACCCCTGCTAAGTACTGAGCCTCAGAGACAGGATTAGGACTAAGTTGCCTGGATAGCACCCCCATGGGGCCATGTTCATAGGGATCAGTAACATCAGGCAAATGAATGAATGAAAGGGAAAGAAAAAAGAAATTTTGCTCATGGGGAGTAGGGGGTCTGTGACTTGGCATTTTCTCTACTTTGGGGTTTCTATCCTTATAAAAGACTCTAGTGCCTAGCTGGGTGTGGGATGCCTTGAGACGAGATCCCCAGAGGGATAAAAGAGTGGGCAGCTATCCAGCACCTGCTGCTCTTCCAAAGAAGAGCTTCTAGAACCTCACATCCCAGAGTCTCCAGGGTTGGGTCCTAGGAAGATGTTTTATTTTTTTATATCTACAAAAACCCAAATGATTGTGATTTTGATGCAATACCCACCCTGCAACCAGTCCAAGAGCTCTCTTAGGCATCTGGGGTCTCCTCAGTTCCTAAGAGAAGCCTCCCCACCTTCCCTCAAAAAACAGCTCTTTTCTGTCCCAAGCCCCAGGGTGCTTACTGGGGACACCAACACACTGGCAAATACAAACTACGAAGCAATGTGGTCAATGATAAAATAAGATGGATCATAGGGTAGGGAGGCTCTTAGGTTTGCTTAGAGAGGGGACACTGGGCTGAGACTTCAAAGACGAGCATTAGCAGATGCTCTGCAGCGCCTGCTGCCTGTATCGTCTTACTGCACGGTAGTGTGGGACAGGTGTTCACACTCAAGGAAAACCTACCAGTATGAATAGAGTGGCTCCCATGCTAGGCGCCACCCTCTTCCCCTACCCTCAAAAGGCAAAGTGAGAACCCTACCCTGGGCAGAAGAGAAGAGAGGCCCCAGGTACCTGTCAACGAGGGAATCTCGCATGCTGGTGGCAATGGCACTAGGCTGAGCTTCATTCAGCTTGAAGACACTCTCCACCACTGACAGCTCTGTGCTGGTTGTGTCCAGGCCACAGAAGGCACACCAGTCATTCACCACCATCCCAGCGGCAATCACCTCGCTGCCTCGGTTCACAGTGCCCGCCTGCCAAGGGATGGGCTCAGCGTGGGTCATGGCCACATGACCAAAGTCTCTTCCCTCCGTGATGAGGGCTCTCCCCAGACCCTGCTCCCTAACGTGTAGCCCCAACCCTAAACTGTGGCAGATAATGGCCAGATACCCAAACACTGGACAAAGTGGGCTGCCTCAGCAGAAGATGGGTTACAGCTGGAATGCTTACCACAAGGGGCACCTGAAGGAGTGAAGACAGCTCATCCTGGTCTTCTACTGAAGTCTTGGGATGCACCAGCCCTCCTTGATTGCTGAAGACAGAGTAGCTTCCTACTAGCACCTGGTCAGCCACTGTCTGTCTGAAGACTTCCACCTTAAGCACATCAGCAAGGATTTCTTCTGTCTCCTGTCAGAAGATAAGAGGTACTATGCACCTGCATGCCAAAAAACCAGGGGCTTTCCATGTCCAGAACCACCCAGGGCTTGGCTCCCTGAGCCTCTCATTCCTCTGCTACGCAGCTGAATAGGGAAGCCTCACTCAGAGAAAGGAGAGGATACATCTTGAAGCAGAGTCTAGGTCAGCTCTGGAGCCCCTAATAGCTATGTGTGCTCTGAACAGTCATACATGCCCTGAACAGCCAGGGGGCTGGTCTCCACAGTCACCCTCTTCCCTCTACCGCACACCCAAGAGTTCAACAATCATCTCTTCTGGCCTCCTGGAGTCAATCTTTTAGGTCACCCATTCTGAAGGATTAATCCCCCACAGCTTCTTTCTGACACTGCCCACACTAGGGAAGGTCTCTGTACTGTTCTCACTGTTATACAATGAGTGCCTGAAATGTGAGAACCCAGGTATAAGAAGAAACCATAAGAAATGCCCATAATTCCTGCCTGATGGGCAAGAACAGTGGCCAACCACTGATTAGGATGGTCCTATGGCTCATGGGCAAGTTAGACTGCCTCACCCTATCCAAGTCTGGGTGGACCAAGGCCACATAGTCGTTGCAGGTGGTGACATTGCCTAGGGCCGACAACCGTTCCTCCACCCGACGGATCTGCACTGAGTCTGGCAGGGAGTTGCGAATGTGTTGCAGCTCCTGGTCAGTGGTGTTGCTGGGCACCAGGAGACCATGCCTGTTCCCTGGAAGGCAAAGAGGGACCATGAATACACAAGATACCTGCTGAGCCCAGTGAGCTTCTCTGGGAAAGCTTTAGGCCCAGACCCAGCCCTCCAACCCACTGATCCATACAACACCCAGGGGGACCAGGAGTCTCACCAGGCAGGCCAGCGATGGCCCAGGTGCCTGTCCCAACCCACCTTGTG